AACCCAGATATTCAGTCTTGATTTAAATAACCCATTACATCTCATGGTAAGTAGTTCTACAGCTTAGCTGTTCTTACGTTTAATTACATGACTAACATACCAGGACCACACAGTATCACCCACACTGCTGACAATTTATCACTTACATGCCCAAACTTCCTGGAGGAGATGCTAAGAAAGTGGTAACTCCATCATTTCCCTAGTGCTATCCCAAAACAGAGAGTATTCTGGGGTTGTACACAAGAGCACAGACCCCAGGCAGTCTTTTGCCCCAATCCAAACACAACTGGACCCAGTCTTGACCTGTTAACTCCTTATTAGGCTTCTGTCTCACCACCCTCAGTCAAAAGTGCATAACCCATCTCTCTGCTTTTGTCTTCCCTCGGGAATAGAAATAACCCCATACAAACACACACACACACACCAAAAAAAAAAGGTCTTCTTTTACTTTGTTATGAAAAGAGGTCTTTTGGCAAAAATACCCTTAAAAAAAAAATCCTTGAGGAAATTCACAATGAACTTGTTCTGTATTGTCTAAGAATTTACTTTCATGCCTGTGCTTAGTATTTGATGTCAAATGGAGAATTAGTGATTCAGCATTAATCTCTGGATTCCAAATCATGAGCTGAAAATATAAGAAAATGAGGATAAAATCAGAGGTAGATAACAGCTACAGTAGCTCTACTAAGGTAGTAGGACTATTCAATTGAATAGACATGTTGAATAAAAAATTCAGTCTAAATTATTGACCAACTAAACAGTAATAACTTGAACATGAAGTTCAAGCACCTTTCAGGCACTTATGACCTGTAAGTCTCCTTAGTAAATATTAATGGCATTAATATATATACATATGTTAATTACACACTCAGCACACTTTCACACAAGCAACAGTGCAATTAAGAACATTTCTCTGTATGACATGTGATATGAATTGGGTACTTCTACTTAATCACTCTGCTAAATGTTTATAGGATGGAAATAAGATCTTAATACAACTAGAAGGGCCGCAGGAGGGACACTTTAAAGGTTGTACTTCCATGTATGTCAATATCAAGAGCTCAGCAACACCTGGTTTAATTCATTTTTTGAACTGCTTACTAACTGGAGACTAGGTGTTAATTCCCCCTTGAGATCAGAAATGCCTTTAATTGATGCTGCTGCATCTTCCTCATGCCCAATGGACACTCATGAGACGCTATGAAAACCAGCTAAGACGTGGCAGTAGAAATGGGGGCTGGGATTTGTCTGCCCTATCTGTTTCATTACAGGCCCCTGAAACAAAGATGAGCTCTTACTGCACACATCAGCAGAGCATTTGGTCCTACAAGGCCTGAATGTGGGCAAGGCTTTTAAATCTTACCAAAACACAAATAAATATATAGGTTACTTCCAAAATCTCTCCTTGTGCTTTGAACACAAGGAAAAAATATCACCATATCACAATATAGCCATTGCCATCATATATTCCAAAATATTTTCCAGAGCAATACAGAGTGCTTAATGAGCTGTACCTACCAGACATTTTTAGAAAGGAAATACTTAAAATCCATCAACTGTTAGAACCACTATTTTGGGGTGAACTTCTGAAAAGATGCAATCAGTTTCTTTTTCAAAAGTGAGTTAAACGTTAACAGAACTGTTCATTATTTTTTTTTCAGAAGAAACGGGTTTTTGCATCCGTTTGGCTTTATGATCACAAAGTAAGAGGCAGAAAGCTTAATGCTGCTACAGAAAAATCCAATTCTCCTCAGAAATCTGTATCGACAAGCAAATTTTAAGGCAGCTGTAGATTGCTTGTGTAGCTAGACTCCTTGGACATTTGCACAATTTATCAAACTACATTAACAGCCATATGAACACGCCAGAAAAGGTCATTTGAAAATCATTACGTATTTGTTTCTAAGAGTAACACCTTGAGGCCCCCACTGTGAATGTGGTCGAACTGCAGGCATTTCCTTTCATGTCAGAAATGTTTTTTAGATGTTTGGCATAAGAATCAAACAAATATTTTTGTTAAGAAAAAAATCAGATTCCAGAGCAGGTCCCTGTGAACAGTAATGTAATGCAAGTCTTTGGATTTTTATCATTTGCTTTCAACTTTGCCTTATGTCACAGTAAAATTGCATCAAAGCTAATTTCAATCTAGTCCCAAGAGAGCATTTGTCCGTATCATGAAAACCACTATTTAATTTAACACTATTACATGCACATGCTAGGGGGATGCCCAGCTGGAATACCACAGCTAAGACAGGTCAGGATGAAGGTGCACTGGTGGGGCTTCTCAGGGAACCTGCTTTTAGTGCTTTTGGCTCTAGTTGAGAACATCAGTTTCTCATTGATTAGTTCTGAAAACAAAGTCCTTCCCAAAGAGAAAAAAAAAAAAGAAATAATAGAAATTCCTTCACAATCTCTAGTCTAGGAAATCATGTATCAGTGTCATAACTTAAAATCAACAAACCATATGAAGGAGGTGTATCAAAGTTAAACACATCTGTGGAGATTACATTCTTTGATTCTATTTCTTACACTTACTTTTGAAAACAGACTTCTGATGCTTCAGATTCAGCTGGCTGTGGCATTTCATTCCGAGCTCTTCCAGGCAATGCTCCTCCACAGGTATTAAGTCCCCCTGGAGAATGAAGGCACAGAGGTAATAAACATATTCGTTTCATTACAACATCTTAAAAAATGTAAAAATTCTAAAAAACCAACTGTAAGCTGACCTCCAGCCAAAGTACACATTAATTATACAGCTTAAGTCAGGCGGATGCTCAAGGAAAAGAGATATAATGTTACACCCAGCTGGATACTTTGTAGTTAGCACAAATGTAATATAAAGCGTACCAGAGTTTGTCAAGTGTCTGTCTGGATTTTCAGTTTTCATTAGTACCATAATTAAAACCACATTTTCAGCTATATTACCTATAACAAGAAAGGAATGAGAAATGAGGTTGTCAAGGTCAGTCTCTTTCTGCTCTTTATACTGAGTATCTGCAGGCCACAAGCTGTTGAATTTGGTGTAAACCAGAGTAATCGGATGGAATGTCACGTTACAACCAAACCTTTGTGGTTGAAAAGACAAACTTATGAGGTCACTTCCTTTTAATCACCAATGGAGCATATTTATCTACAGTAATGTAAGTCAGGAAGACAGGCAGGCAGATGACAGACAGACTGACAGACATATGGAAATACAAGCACCCTAAACACAGATACAACAGTGCTGATGCACAGAAACATTCCTTTTTAGAAACCTGTGCTTGATCTTCTGCTGTCATAGTTTTTCCCATTTATAACTGACACCACTGTAAATACTTTTTATGTCCTTTCTATTGTTTCTCACAGAGGACAGACCAAAGATTAACAAAAAAATGAACAGTGGATAACTCAGACAAGAACAACCTAAGAAGATTCAGATCCAGCTTTATATTTTGAATGATTTCAGAGAGTTCAAGATTTTGGTTAAGATCCACAAAACAGTGACACATAATAGACAATATACTTCCTAACAACAGGATGTACTAATCTAATCATTATCGTAGCTGTGTTAATTGGAGATGAGTGGTGAAATGCAGCATGGCTTCACTGAACTCAGCTGATCTCAACATCTTACTAAGGATCTGGCCCATAAATGTCAGTATTGTCACCAGACACAAAAATGCCACAGTTTCATATTCAAGTGCAAATAAGCACTTGAGGCAACGAGGACCAGCAAGTGCGAATGGGACTCCCTAGATGAGGGGAAATTAGCTTTCAGGAGAACACAGAAAGCAAACAAAAAGCAAAGCAGCTACTCAGTCATGTAAAATATAAATGGCTAGTTTATTTGTGATACTAGAAAGGGATTTTAGTTTCATTTAAAAAAAAATGTTAGGAAGGAGATGACTGAACTATTATGAAACTGAAAGACCTGAAGATGATACCCCAGAAGATAACATTCCGAGAATAAAGTGAAAGAGCTCATATAAAATACAAAAGGTGTGTTGTAAAGAAGGATCAGAAGGGCAGACTTTGAGCTTCATCTAGTCATAAATCAAAAGCTTGTTCTCCATCATTCTTGTCTATGAGGTCAGCTTTGATTCCCAAGCTACAATTCCCAAAGGATGGAGGTATTTCTATTGGCAAGTATGTGTCTTTCTTCCCCCAGGCTGGCTCTGCCAGCCCTGCTGTCACCATGGACTGTCATTATCTCAATCTCTTTACTGCCCAGGATTGTTCCATCCCGGAGCCATAGGGAACTATCACAGGACTGTGAGAGGAAAACACAATTGGGAGACTAAAGGCATTTGCAACAAATTAATTCATGGAGAAGTTTATCAAGGCAGGCCATCTGCAATAGTTCAGTCATTCTCCTTCATAGTGGCCAAATGTTTCAGTGCACTAGTCACTAGCTGACATGTCAGGAATACAAAGTGATATGCAAAATAAAAGGAATGTGTTAAAGACATAATAAAAATAAATTAAAAAAAAACACAAATCAAAAATATTCACAAATACAACCATAATGTTTACTCAGTCTTTTTTTTTTTTTTTTGCACGTGCATGGGGGTGTGTGTGTGTGTAGGGGGGTATAACTTAAGCATTAATGGTTTAGCTTTTACTCATGCAAACTGTCCATATCCATAAGAATAGTCTGCGTAAACAGAACTAACCACCTGAATACTAAATGCTGGATTAGTGCCTCAATTGGCAGTCAACCATCTCCATGTATACAGATGAAGGCCAGATAACTTTAACATGCAAATTTTTACAAAACGCTTTTAGAATATATTTACTAATATTCATGTAACAGAACAAATAGTAATTACCAGTTCATGAATTATTTTTTTTTCTCTAAGTCTTGAAAACATTAATTTCAGACCTAACTACAGGAGACTTTTTAGTGTTCTTACACTATTGATCTTATTATTTGCTTCAACAGTAGTACGGTGGTTTTACTCCAACCCTAAGCATTCTATGATTCTATGATTCTACTTCAGTAATTCTCACTAAATATAGATAAATGTTTCTGTGTGGTGTAAAACCTGATAGTTACCACAAGTATCTTTAACAAAGATAACATTTACAAAGAATAATACAGACATTTGATCCTATATGTTTCTAAAGATAAAAACCTTCATTCTTTCTGCAGCAATTTATACAAGAAAGGCATTGATGGGTGCAAGGTCTGAATTTTTAAGACAACACCGCCCTCTACTGTCACGGGAGAGTAAACCCGGGTAGGATCATCCACACCTTTGCAAAGCCTTTTGGAGGCTTCACTTAAGTGAAAAGCTACTACGGCTCCTGCCCAGAGATGCTTTTCAGATCGTTGTAGCTTCACACCAGGGAGTTGCTTCCTCTTTCACAAGCAAAGCTCGGTGCGAGCTCTCCGGGCTCTACACTGTCCATAGGCACAGGACTGTAAGTCGGGCCTGACAAGTATGAGAGGAAAATTATTCACTCTTCTCCCTCAATCGGGTACAGAATAGCGAGTGTACGAAGGTTGTGTTGGTTTGCTTACCTTCACTGCACACAGGCTGTTCCCCCCGCCCCCCGCCTCTCTTTTCAAAGTCGGTATTCAGAGCCTTCAAGGCTCAGATGGAAAGATACAGATTGCTTGATAAGATAACATCCTTAAACAAGTATTAGTGTGCATTATGAAGCAGTTTCACCTTAAAGGTTCTGAAACTTGCTTGCAACTGATAAGCCTATAAATCCAAAACCACAGACCGGGATGAGAAAACACACTTAACAGCAATGGGAGCAGGTCAAAAATCACTCTTATAATCAACAGAAATGCACCAAAGAGCTCCCCACAATAAATACGTCCCACTACCCTGCAGAAATCAGCATTTCCCCAACACCAAAGAAACTGAGCAACAAATATAAATCATCCAGGCACACTGAAAAATGATCTTAGCTGTCAGCTCCGTCATCAGAGCAGAACCAATAGTGCTAGTTTGGATTTTAAAACTGTTCAAAGCCCTACTACAAAACACAGATTTATACAGGGGCATAATTTATTTTCTGTATTTTGGTCTCTCTTTTGCTTTTAAGAATGCTCCCACTTTCCATTTGCCTTTCTCACATTTCCTGAGCATAACTAAAGTGGAGAGCACTGTCCCTGGCGACTTCAGGATCTTCCTCCTAAATACTAGTAACTAATAAATAAAAAATGATTGCATACAGCTAAGAGTTGTTTTCTGTGTATGCATTCTTTTATGTTAATCAATTCTGAAATTCTTCTACCATCTTACCATATTGCAAGATCCATCTATAATTCTCTGCGGGCAGATTTTATTCAAATAAATTTTGCCTGCAATATGTTCTATCTACATGCTGGTCTAGCCTAAAACAATTTAAAAATGTGAGCTGGACTGAAACCAAACCCTCATACTGAGAGGAAGGACTAAATACATCCATCATGAATTACGGATTACTATATGCAGGATTTGGAATTGAAAAATGTAACTAAAGGACTGCAACATCTCAAGTCTCCCCAGAAGTCTACTATTGAGCTTTCCTAAAGCATTGGCCTCAGCTGGAGATGGGGCTTTAGATGGGCTGGGTTGAAGGGCACAAGTGACGCATTTTGCTTACAGATGTTTTGATCATCAGATTTTGAGCCAGGATGATTTTCTCTGAACTAAGTAGACACCCAGCAAAATAAATGACATACCTGCTGGCAGCATGTAGGTATAATTCATCTGGTCATTTTTCTTGCGTTGCACAGCCTACAGACTTGTGTGTCACTTGGATCTCTTTGCCATTACCACCCAGCTTAATCTTCTGATGACTACAGTCCTCTTGTCTGTTTACAGTTTTGGGACATACTATGCACATGACTAGGTAAAAATTATTTACTTGTGTAATGCAAGTGATTCAATGAGAATATTTGATAACTCTGTTGCTCTTAGAATGTGAAATATAAAAATCTGAAATATAAAAGACAGACATACACACAGATGCATTTCAAATCTTTAAAATAAAATGTCTAATTTGTTTTTATGTTTTTATTTTTGGAACCATGCCAATAATTTATATCCACTAACATGTAACATCCTCAGGGCAAATCTTTATTTGAAGTATACTGCTTAAGGGAACAGGTTAAGAGGAATGGCTACAGATCTAAGAAAAGAATTCTCTGACTTTGCATCTAATGCTTTAACCAGTGCCTTTTATGGTTACCGTGCATATCCCAGACACAAGCAACAACAGAGCACAATACAGTTCGGTCACCAAATCCACTGTACTGATGGTGGTAACTTCAACATCCTCCCTTCTTTTCTCTGACCTCCCAAAGCGAGCCCCCTGAAAACATTTTTTGTGATTTGCAAGAGGTGATCATTCTTAGTATCATAATTAAAAATGCAACCCAGAACTGAAAAATCTCATAAGTAATCCCGTTTGACAAGACTACACCTAATTTTGCTAAAACGATCTGAAAAGAAAAAAAAGGAAAAGCTATATAAGAGTAAGAGAATACGTAAATTCATTCAATCCTATGCTCTGTTAACACTTCATACTATAGCTTTTTTTTTTTTTTAATTAAATGTTTAGTATGCCAGAGCATTCAAAATTTTTTCTGGATTGCCAAGCTCTAAACATAACTTGAAGACAGGCTCATTTTTTAAAAAATTTGGTTTAGTTCCTTTACCTTTATTACAGTTTTTTAATTATTTCACAAGTACTTAAACCAAACTTCACCTCCTGCTGGTTTCACAATGAATGAGGTAATAACTTGTCTGTCTGCTTGGGATTTGATATCATCTCCACTGCAAAACCTATACTATCATAGACCAAAAATTTAATATCACAGAAAAAAAAAAGTTTGGAATAGCAAATCAGAAACACACAAGAGCTCTAGCCTCAGGCTGACCACCTTAGCTTGGCCAGAAGCACTTTGGGAAGTGACAGAAGAACAGCATCATTGATGTACAAAGCTTTCTCTTTCATCTTCTTTACTAAGGAATATTTGAAAAGTAAGAAAGAATAAGTAGGTCTCTATGATGAAAAAAATCTATATGACAACAGACTATAATTTAGAATAAACAATACTGATATTGGTGATGCCACTGACAAATGCTGATGCTCAGCAATTCTTCCAGATATTGTATTTTGTATTATATAATCAAACAATTGCACACGCAATATGTTACTGCATGCACAACGCAATGTAGATTTCCACAAACATCTTGCTTTGGAGCAGAAATAGCCAATTTGCTATAGTCTCATCTTCCATATTGCTGCCATCAACTGCTATCATTATTCACAATCTCAGAATGCTTGTGCAATTAAATTACAATCAAACCCCACCACGCTAAAAGCTATAAATTAACAACTTTTACTCCATTAACAGGCAATTCCTATGCTAAACAAAAAAGACACTTTTAAATTACCTTTACTGTTATAATGTATTCTTCAGGAATGTAGAAAGAAAATTGTAGAAAGAAGTCGTGAGAGAGGAAAACAAAACACCATTACAGAGACTTTCTTTACCACAATAAGCATAACTTCTCTGTATTTAACTTAAACAGAAGAAATATGCAAGAACTGTGATAAAAAGCAGAAAATTCACTCTTCCACAGAAATACAGAACAAGGAATGTGCATAATTTCAGGTCAACTACACAGGACAACACATTTTTTTATTCCACTATCACTAGGCCTTCACTGTAGCTCTAGAGACTTCACTTTTAAATCCAGAATACAACGGGATTTGCCCTGAGGACAGCAAGCACATTTATTCAGTGACACACATGTAATCAGTCTCGATAAAAGCAGCAATGCACCCATTCCTAGAAAACCAGCTTTTCTAGCAATTCAGAGTCACATGGACCTCTAATTTATCTACCTGTGTCCTCAGTCGGTGTTCTACAACACTGTTTTTCATCATCAGCTTTGGGGCCAAATCTCAGTTCTGGTTTTAATTCAATAGACAAGCAGGATTTATAGGGCTAGACAGAGCTTAACCCCCTCTGCTTTACTTTCAACTCTTAACTCCATGCTACTATCCTGGCAAAGCAATCTATAAATTCAGTTCTGTGGCAGCAGCATCATATAACACTATACTCACAACTAAGTCACTTCACAAGCCAGCAACTGTTCTCAGCAGGCAGGGTGTTTTTATTCAGAGCTACAGAGAAATTTTGTTTTTGAAGCTCTATTGACAGAAAAGACAGATGACCAACGAGTTTTGTGTTTCCAGCCTGCTGTCTGCCACGAATCCATTTGGGTTGTGATGGAAAGCAGTGAAAAGATGAGTGCACACAAAGAAAAAAAAATCCCTCAAAAAAATATGACTGTGGAAGGTAGTTGCTTGATTTTTTTGAAATAACTCATCTTGTAAAGAACCTACCTTCAGCAAACATTTTGCCTTGATGAAGATAATTGCCATTCGAATACAATTCTAGTTCTCAAAGATTTATTGGCAGAGTTTTGTAACAAAAATCTAACCAAAGCACACTCAAATGTATTTCAAGAACTGAGTAATAATGTGGAACCTCCTAAAATTGTGCTTGCAATTCTAATTTTTCCTCTGTGCCTCAAGTTAGAACTGTCTCCCCAAACCTGGCACAATTCTATCTCATGTAGTAAGAATTTTCCATTGTTGTGAGGCACACTGCAAGCCTTATAAGGTACTGATGTTTGGCTTTTCTGCAAATACACAATAGAAAGTCAGGCATTTTTAATTAGTTGTCAGCTGCTGTTCTTGAATATGCATTTTGTGTTGGAGGAAACCATTCCTGTGCCACAATACATGGAAACCAGACACTGTACATGGACATGAGAAAGAAGTGGGTGAGCATAACTATTAGGGGAAAAAAAAAAGTCATGACTGAAAGTTCTGAATTTTTTTTCCATCTATGTTTTTTTTTTCTCCAAAAACGACGATATTCCCAGGGCATCTTCTGATGGTATCACCAGTGACATGTGCCCAAAGACATTACAGTACATCTCTTGGAACACTAGATATATTAATTAGTTTTACTAAAAAGCAACTTCCAGAAACTGAGATATGTACTGAGATACTATCAAGTCTTCAGCATTATACACATTTTGCTTGGAATAATCAATTACCAGTGATTTTACCAATGAAAATGATCATGGTGCTTTGAATACACCTTATCTTATTTCAGCTCCTTGCAGAAAATAATACAGTTTGCTCAATAAAGGTTTATCTGTAAATGAGATAATTGTGGTAGCTTTATACCATAAAATTCTTTTTTTTTTCCTCCTCCACTTTTGTTTCTGCCTGTCTCCACTGCATATATTTTAGCTCACTCACGGGCTTTTATCTGAACTAAATCAATTATTTAATTTGTCTGGAAACCTAAGTGCAGAAGAGAAGACAGAAAATACTGCACATGTGAAGCACACCACTGTCCCCAGAGACAAGGGCTCATCCCAGGGACAGTAAAAACAGGTTAGGCTTAACCTTATTCATACCTATATGCAGGGTATAAATTAAGGGTACGAATACCTTCACTTTGTCTTTGATTTGGTGCACACAGACTTTAGTACCATGGGTCTGTTTAAAATGGAGTAACATTTGAAAGCTAGCTGGCCCTAAGGAGCTTGACTGCTTGCTAGAAAACGAAGAATAGAAATGACCTGAAACCCACATTATTTTGTATGTGATTGCTTTCACCCCACTCACAGTTAGTTTATGTAAAAGTTCTTAGCTAACCCACCAGATCTGTCCAGATTTTCATTTACTACTTTCTTACATTACAAATTTTGTATAGATGCTGCGCTGCCAGGCCCCAAATTCGTTCTATATTCCTGCATTTAGAGCCTGGGATATGGGGCTCTTGGGAAAATCTTGTTGTTGGACCTGTCTTTTTGTAATTTTTTTTTAATATTTCCAGGAGCGGATTTCTTACTGGAAAAAAAGAAATATATATATATATATTTATATATATATATCTTTAAGGAACGTTGAAGGCAAAGCACATGGCAGGACTGGATGGGGGCACCACCCACGGCTATTATAAAACATCTACACAGGTTTCAGAGCCTCAGAAGCTCAGTGCCCTGCTGATAGAGGAATATTTGGTGTTACATACATTAAAAGAGCAAGCACTCATGATCAACCAAACCACCAAATCCTACTCAATTTACAAATATCCCTCCTTTCCCACGCGCCACAGCTAAAAGCTCACCTCTGTCTCCAAGTCCTGGACACCAGCATTGTGGATGCAGCTCATTTCTTACAAGGGTCTTCTCAGGAGCTGAGGTCCCCCTTTACCTCAGATGCTTCCTTCCCTCCCATCTGCATTAAGCCAACAACCACAGCAAGAAGTCTGTCCTTGTACCACTGAAAAGAAAATCCCCCTGGAGCACAGGGCCTCTAGGGAGCACCTTGAGCACACCTCCTGCTCATTAGCCCCATTTGTCTCTGGAACAACTTCCCAGGCAAAAAGTGCAGAGGGGATTTAGAAGCAATTCAGCAGGTGGTGGACAGGGGTGGTGGAAGAGCTAATTGTACCCACTTTTCAGTCAGAAATACTGTAAAAACACAGTACACAAGTAACTCACTGGACAGCAACCGACTCAGTGCTTCACTGAGCCACCATTCCATCCCTTCAGCACCTTCCATACGACACAGCCCCTTCCCGCCACAGAGCTCCCAGCCAATGAGCATGAAGATTACCAGCCACCAGCCAATGAGGTGCAGCCAGTGGGCGGGAGCAGGGTGAGGAAGGGGCTGCGGAACGTTCCAGAAGGAGTGGGAAGTGGTGGTCAGAGTGAGTGTTTCTGATGCTGTGTGGAGGTGGCCTTGCCCTGGGTGGAACTACTGGAATTCTGAAGGCAGGTCCTAGCCTTTGTGTTTTGGCACAAGTGTAGGGATTTGTTATCCCCAGATCAAGGGTTGGAGGGAAAGTATAGTGATGAAGCATGCTGCTTGCATTGGATACTTTTTTTTTTTTTTGGTAGAAATAATACTAGAACATTTTGTGGCAGGAGCTTGTTTGTTAAAATTGGATTAGCTTCTCATTTTTCCTTGAAAATGACTGTTTAGTACCTACTTCTATTCAGACTATTAAAATCATTCATTCTGGTGTTTTGTTCTGTGTTCTGTTAGGTTATCTTGGACTCCTGCTTGCTTCTTAAGTTCCTGAACGATATTCCCCTCAAAATAAGAAGCGGTTGCTGAATCTTGCAGGTGTGTCTGAAGCGGAAGATGGGTAATACCTTTGTAGCCCCAAAGTTCTTGTTCTGTTTACTCAGCAGTGTAGTGTTCTGTAGGAGTTGCAGAATGCCCTGGGAGTGTGAAGGCAAGAAGAAATGAAGTTGTGATATGCTGATAACTGGATAGTGAGGAGGACTTCTGAGTGTGGCTGGTGCTGCAGATTCCAAACAGGAATCTGCCTTTCCTACCAGTCAGCTATCCAGCTCAAGGTGCTGTCTAGGCAGTCTTTTTATTTACTCTGTAATGATAACTCAGTTTATAAAAACCCAAACTTGGCATTTGGAAAACGCGTAACAGGTTAAAACCTGGGGGATTTTCTTTTAATCCTGTCGCATAATAGTATTAAGTAGATAATGGTGTTTAGACAGTGCTTTGCACTAGTAGTGTATTTGCAGATAAGACTATCACTGTCTGTGGGTATGTATAGTGAAGCTTGCTTGGGATTTTTTCTTAATGCTGCTTCCGATCCATCCCACTATCTGCAGTAGTCATTCCTTAAGTGTCACTTACCTAGAAGAGTAAACTTCACTTGTAATTTTTTTGCAAATTTAAGGGTGTTAGGAGAAATCTTCAGAAGGGCATAGATGAGTAACATGTCTAGCCAGTGTATAACTGCCTCTGAGTTCCAGGCAATGGATAAGAAAAATACACAGGTAAATTGAAAGCATTGGTTATTACTTCCAGACTGCTCTCTTTGTCTAATTTGGGTCTAAAGATACAGACGTAAGGTATCTAAAATAGGGCTCGACTTCTCAAAGTGATGCTGTTCTGATCAAATTAACCCTTTCATAGTAGGGTGTGTGGTTTTGGTTTTGTTTGTCTTGTTTTAGATACTCTCTGAACATGCAATGTTGTTAAAATGCAGAGCAGTTTTTGTAAAGATTTCCTGGGGTGATGTCTGTCAGCTGTGTCTCTCCAAGCTTTAATAACACTGTGCTTAGATAGAGCAAACATCCTGTTAAATTGTTGTTAAAGTGCTGAATGCCTTTTGCAAGTGTGCCGTACCACTTTCTATGTGGATTATCTACAAGCTACTAGATCATACAAAATCCTAACTGCATAGTTGATACTGGCTGGCCCTGTATAGGCATCTGTGTGTCTTGCAGTAACTAGGAGCCTTGCTAAGCTGTGTGCAGGAGAGGGCATTTTCAAAATAGCTAGGATCAAGAAGAGTCACAAACCTTTAATCTCCTTTTTCCCGTGAGAAAACTCCTCTCATGGTTACCTGAAGGCAAATGCCAGGGGCAGTTCTGCAGAAGTTAATGCTGCTCAGAGGGAAAATTGTTGACTCCTACAGTCCCAGCCTAAAGATTAAAGAGGAGAATCAGTACCAAGTAGCTTGGTTAATCATAGCTCTGTTTATCCTTAAGGTTGATAGGCCTTTGTGTATTTGTAAGTGTCTTAATCTGTTGGCAGGGGAATTGAAGAGCTATGGGCCACAGAATATATCTGCTCTTCATACGAGACGAGAGCTCTTCAAGTACTAAGTTCCAAACCTTATAGCTGTCTACAGCAGTATGATGTCTTTGTGCACCACTATCCTATTCATGATGGAGATGCTCCTGATATTGCCAAGCACTGCAGAACTCTGGAAACGCTCAGAAGGTGCCTGGAAAGCAACCAGAAAACAGTAATAAACTAGGCTTTGCCTCCCTTTCTTTATGTAAAATACAAACTTCTCCCCAAAAGCAGGACCAGTTGCACTGGTATCATGTCAAATAACAATCAGGTGCTTTACAACTAATTCAAGCTGGGAAAGCTGCCTTTTATTATTATTTATTGTTTTTTCCTCTGTCCAGCAAGCTCTTACTGTGTGTTGAATGGCACCACACAAGTCCTTGCTGCTAAGTTGGATGATCTCATATATGACATGAG